AATTTGGCAACCAGTGAATGTATCACTCAAGTTTCATGGGCTTCCTATATCTGCAAAAATATGGTAGATCTGCAGTCCCCAACTCCCGGGCTTCCTGTATCTGTAACAGTATGTTAGATCTGTGTGGGTGGTGGGTCCGTGGCCTGTTAGGAACCAGGCCACACAGCAGGAGGTGAGCAAGCGAAGCTTCATCTGAATTTACAGTTGCTCCCCATCGTTCCCATTACTCTCTGAGCTCTGCCTCCTGTCAGATCAGTCACTGTCTCCCATCACCCCCCACACACGGGATCTTCAAGTTGCAGGAAAACAAGCTCAGGGCTCTCACTGATTCTGCATTATGGCAAGTTATATAATTACTTCATTATGTATTACAATGTAATAATAATAGAAACAAAGTGTACAATAAATGTAATGTGCTTGAATCATCTAGAAACTATCCCCGCACTGCCCCCCAGTCCATGGAAAAATTGTCTCCCATGAAACTGGTCCCTGGTGCCAAAAAGGTCAGGGACTGCTATGTTAGATGGTGAGAGGACATGGACAAAGGAAGAAATACATACCATAGTCCCAGGATTTAAATAATGTGTCATCTAGTTGGGAAGACAAAATGAACATGAATGCATGTACACATTGTATATGTATATAAAAAAGGGCTGGTGGTCAGGGAGGGCCTCGTGATTCTGCCCATCCCTGGGCTTGGTCATCACATAGCTCCTTCGTGGTGTATGACTCTCACACTGGCTGGGTTTTTTTTTTATTGTGGTAAAAATATATATAGCACAAATTTTACCATTTTAACCATTTAAAGTGTACAGTTCAGTGGCATTTAGTACATTCACAATGCTCTGCAACTGTCCCCGCTATCTATTTCTAGAAAATTTTCATCACTCTAAAGGAAATCTAGTACACAGTAAACAGTCAGTCTCCATCCCCTCCTCCCCAGTTCCTGACAACCACTAATCTGCTTTCTGTCTCTGTGGCTTTGCCTATTTTTATATAAATGGAATCATACAATATAGACCTTCATACAACAGACCTTTTGTGTCTGACTTCTTTCACTTAGCATAATGTTTTCAAGATTGATCCATGATGTAGCATGTATCAGTTCCCTTTGATGGCAGAATAATATTCCATTGTACAAATATACCACAGTTTGTTTATCCATTCATTGGCTGATGGACATTTAAGTTGTTTCCACTTTTTGGCTATTGTGAATAATGCTGCTCTGAACATTTGTGTACAATTTTCTTTCTGTGGACATATGTTTTCAATTCTTCTAAATATATACCCAGAAGTGGAAGTGCCAAACTGTTTTTCATAGCAGCTGTACTATTTTTCATTCCCACCAGCAATGTATGAGATATTCCAGTGTCTCCCATTCCTCGCCATTTGTTATTTTTCATTTTTTTATTATACCCACTCTAGTGAGTATGAAGTGATATCTCATTATAGTTTTGATTTGCATTTCCCTAATGGCCAATGGCATGAGCATATTTTCATGTGCTTGTTAGCCATCTGTATATATTCTTTGGTGAAATGTTTAAGAGACAGGGTCATGCTCTGCCTCTCAGGCTGGAGTGCAGTAGTGTGATCACAGATCACTGCAGCCTTGAATCCCTGGGCTCAAGAGATCCTCCTGCCTCAGCCTACTGAGTAGCTGGGACTATAGGAATGCTCCACTGTGCCTGGCTAAGTTTTTATTTTTTGTAGAGACTGGGTCTTGCTATGTTGTCCAGGTTGGTCTTGAACTCCTGGCCTCAAGGGATCTTCCTGCCTTGGCTTCCCAAAATGCTGAGATTACAAGTGTGAGCCACTATGCCCAGCCCCTTTGCCCATTTTTAAATTGGATTGTTTGTGTTTTTGCTGAGTTGTAAGACTTCTTTATATATTCAGCATAATAGATTCTTATGATATATGATTTCCAAATACTTTCTTCCATTCTTTTGGTTGTCTTTTCACTCTCTTGATAGTGTCCTTCAATGCACAAAAATTTTTAATTTTTATGGAATCCAAGTTTTTTATTTTTCTTTTTGTTGCTTTTGCTTTTGATGTCATATCTAAGAAACTATTGCTGAATCCAGGGCCATAGTGATTGGCTTCTCTTCCAAGATTGGGAGCTGTGGCTCACCCTAGGCCATGTCCCCAGAGTCTATCACAACTTAGCACCCAATAGATGCTCGCCAGATGTTTGTGGGATGGATGACTATGTAGTGGGATGTGAGCTGATTCTTGGGGGAAAGGGTTTTTGTGTATAGGTATAGCCCAACCAGAGACATGACTGTGAATGAGCATCAGGGAACCTTATAAACTATGAGATGTGATCTGATCAAAGAGGGAGGGTACTTACGGACAAATTGTAGAGTTCTGGGGATCAGGTAACTGAGTGAGGCCTTCAACAATAGCAAGGGCTTTTGGATGTGATGATGGAAACTTGGATCCATGGAGGAGACTTGTTAGTATTGAAGAAAGCTCCTCAGGGAAAGGGAAGCTGGCTGACTTAATGCCATACATCCTAGAATAGGGCTTGGCTGGTATTAGGCCTTAATAAATATTTGGGCAGCCTGATGAAGGAGACTTTTAAGTTATTTAAATGTGAGACTTTCCATAATATAGACCTCCTTACATATTCTACTCTATCTCATCCTCCTTCCAAACTTGAACTTGTCCTGTTTACTAGACTGACCCCTCTATTGCTCCTCACACTTGGCACTGTCTGCTCAGCTGCACACATTGCTCATAACCCTGCTCAGAATACCCTTGCTTCTTTCTTGTCTAATTGATTCCATTCCTCTGGGCCTAAGACACTATCCAATTATCCACAGAATTTCAGTACTGCTACTGCAATGTGTCAGTTTACAGCTCTGGTCAGAAAACTTACCAGAGCTTAGGGTCACATGAATTTGGTTCAGATGCAGCCTCTACTAGTTACTGTGTAACCTCAGATATGCTGGTCTTCCTCTGTCTGCCCTGGTTTCCTTATTGGAAAATGGCAGTAGCAACACTGATTAAATAGTTTTGTGACAGTGAAATGGAAAAAAAAAATAAAACCCTTAGTAAAGGGTCCAGCTCCTAATAAGTAGTCGAAATAGTAGCTATACTGTTTCTAGTTTTCTAGTGGTTTTCTGTATCTTAATCTTGCTTCTCAGCAAGATTGTGGGTTTCTTCTGCAGTGCAGAAGCTGATTCTTATGCTTATTGTAACTAGTATATTTGGCACAAAGCTAGGGCTATAGTAAATGATTAAGAGACATTTGTTGGTTTGAGGTGAGATTGTGACTACCTGAAGTTATTTGCTTTGGAAGAAAGGACATTGTGATAAAATTCTATATTATCCCACCATTCATTTTATTAAGCCTAACTTTTGCTTTGTTCGCTGGTGGTCTGGGACTGAGTTGGGGTAACCTGATTGTATGAACGAGTGTGTGTGCATGAGTGTGCGTGAGTGTGCGTGAGTGTGCGTGAGGAGGAGTAGGGGGATGGTGGAGGTGGTGACAATTGATTCTCTAAGGAGCAGAGCCAGGCTACAGCTCACCATCCTAACTATTGCTACTAGCTTTCCTCCCCAAGCCTTAGAGCTGTGGGGCTGTTATCTGCGTGGGCAGCTGTCATGGCCTTGGCTCCTCATTCTTCCAGGCTGCCTTCACCACAATAGGAAATGAGGTCTTTTCCACCCTCCTGTAAGGCTTCCCCACCAATGCATCATGCTTTGCGAGAGGCTATTGCCCTGGCTGTATACAGTGCTGGCAAAGTGCTAAAGTTAAAGCAGTAAATTCAGGATAATGGTTGCCTCTGGAGAGAGAGGCAGGGCCATGAACTCTGAGAAGGGGCTACAGTTATATTTGAAGTATTTATTTTTAATGCAGGGCTATGGGGCACATGGCTGTTCATTGATATGATATAATATTATATTATCATGGATATTATACAATCTTGAATTTGCTGGTTATCATTTCTGTGCATGTATTATCCATAAAAATACCATATTTTTAAATATTTTCAAGATTTATATGTGTGAAATTATCAAATTTTATGTGCACTTCAGCTACCTATATTTTTTGCTTGATTTTTTTGAGATTGGTCTATATCGATACATGCAGGTTTAGACCTCTGTATTATAAAGAGAGCACAATTGATGTCTATTTTCTGCTATTGGTGGACATTTCAACGGTTTCCTATTTTTCAGTCTTGCAAACATGGCTTTGACAAATAATCTGATATATAGCACCTTGTGCCATGGACAAGAGAGTTGTGTAGGAGTGGACTTGCTAGGAGACCATCGGACATATATAACTTTCACTTTGTTGGCATTGCCAATTCTCTCCTCATAGTGGTTGTCCTAGCTTACTTTCCCACCAGTAGTGCATGAGAGTTGATGTTGGTTCACATCAACCCTTGGTAGTCACATCTGTGCTTTTCTTTCTCTCTCTAGACCACCAGAAAAGGTGGTAAGGAGGGAAAGTTTTATGATTAGGAGGATAATGGCAGCTCTGAGGAATTTCCTGTTACATTTATTTTAATGAGGAAAAGATTTTGTTCTCTGTTTTGGTGAAAATAATGTTTATACTTCTGTGGAAAACAGTTACATTTTTGTACCCTGAAGTAGTACAGTTTGTTCCTTTTTTTCTCTCTTTTCTTCCTTCCTTCCTTCCTCTTTCCTTCTTTCTTTTTGTTTACATTCTTGGCAAATAAGTAGGAAAGACCAATTAGCAAGTTAATGTTCTAAATGTTCACTTGCAGTAATAGTTATTTTTAAGTGTTCTAAATAGCATGGAACATTAGGTTTATTCTTATTGCTTTTCAAAGTTTTGAATTTGTTAAAATGAATTGAATTTAAAATGTGACACAACTTTATGGATAAAGATTGTTCATAATTATTTCCCGCGCTACATGCATTTTGTGATGGGAAAAATAAATGATAGCAAAATGTGTTTACATTTTAAAACAGATTAGAAAAGTCATGAAGAATAACTGGCTATTTTATGTTTTTTCATGTGTTCATAGGTGGGAAAGGAGAAGTTCCACAAATCCCAACATTGGGGCTTTTGCAATAATGTTAGGATGCTAGTGAGTGATGATAAACCTGGAATTGGTGGAGAACTACTTCCTGGGCAAAAGATGAAGCCTAAATATAGCAGGTTTCCTACAGGAGATGGAACTGATGCACCCTCGTGGGTAGCTTTTGATAAACAGGTAAGTCACATGACATTGGGAGAGATACAATCTTAAAATTTTACAGATATTTAACAGATTTGAGAAAATAAGAGTCTCCAAGGTAAATTTTAATGCTAGTTCTTTTTTCTCTGGCTTTTCCACTTATTATTGCCTTTATTTTTAGTGTTTCTCCCTTGTCTTTATTTTTTTAATTGACAAAATTGTATACATTTATGGTGTGCAACATTATGTTTTGAAATATGTATACACTGTGGAATGGCTAAATTGAGCTAATTAACATATTTGTTACCTCACATACTTATTTTTTTGTGGTGGGAACACTTAAAATCTACTCACTTAGCAATTTCCAATTATACAATACATTGCTATTACTATAGTCACCATATTGTATAATAGATCTCTTGAATTTATTCCTCCTAAGTGAAATTTTATATCTTGACCAAGGCTAATTCTTCTAAAAAGGTGAATTGAGGAACAAAAGTACCCTAAACAAAGAAAAATTATCCTTGCTCTGTTATTTCTGACCAAGTGCATTGGTTCCAGGATGCTAAATGTTCATCTCTCTTGGTCAATGCTTATCAATCTTTCTCTCATCTCCTTCCCTGGATAGGATAATCTGTCCTTCTATAGACAATAAGAGTCTGGTCAGACTCACTTTCATTTCATGAGTTGCCATTACCTAAATAATTTTGTTTGATTCTGAATGTGGCATTAAATAGGAATAGCAAAATGCCTTCTTTTCTCCATACTAATTATGGTTCTCCGTCTCTAAGGCCTAAAGGGTGACATGGCAAGAATTATACAAGTGAAGGGAAGAGGTATCATTATTGGACAAGAGTCGGAACTTTTTAATGTATGTGTCTGTACACATAACACACACACATGCACACTCGTATACTGACATTGGCAGTTGGAAAAGGGAATGCACTTGAGTATCTTAAAAAGCAACTAAGATCAAAGGAAAAAGAAGAACAAGGGGACCAGCTTATGGATATGCTGTGTTTATCAGATAATCCCTTATCACAGCTCCTTGTTCTGTTCTCAAAAAAAAAACCCTATTAATAGATTATTTTAGATCTTGTAATTAAAAAATAATTCAGGACTGTAGTATGTTAAATTGACCTGGTAGTTTTTAACAGCTTTTAACATGGATTGGTTGGCAATACTTTGATTCCAATTAAAATGTCCTCAAATTTGGTAGAAGTGACACATCCCCATGTCATCTGTGATAGCGTAGATCAATTAGAGTACACATTTTTTTGAAGCTCAGTTCTGACATTTACAGAGATCTAACAGACCACAGGAAGGTTTCTTTCCTGGGAAACGATTTCTCCTTTGAACATGGGCCAATATCTTTCTTTCTTTTCTTTCTTTTCTTTCTTTCTTTCTTTCTTTCTTTCTTTCTTTCTTTCTTTCTTTCTTTCTTTCTTTCTTTCTTTCTTTCTTTCTTTCTTTCTTTCTTTCTTTCTTTTCTTTCTTTCTTTCTTTCGTTTAAGTACCTGACTTAGTGTTGGACCCAGAGCTTAAAAACAATTTCTAGGCTGACTGACTTCGGTGGATTATGTATGGTTTTCTGTTACTCTCAATCTTATAGGATGTTTAATTTGCAAGGGCCAAAGAAAAGGTTCTATTTTTACCTCATGTCTAAAAGAGGGTATTGACAATATTTTAAACTAATCTACTACTGAATAAATAATGTAGGCCACAATGTATTAAACTTTTCTCTTGTATTTAAAGTTGAAAATCCGTTTCATTTCATGTTTTTCTCAATGTTTAATATGTGCCTTTCAAGCATATTTTGTAGTCCTTTAATTACTTATAAAATTATGTAGAATATTTATGAAGTTGGAATAATTTTAGGTTCTGACTGCTTGAGAAAATGAAGAGCTTGCTCATATTAGGTCTAACTAGATGCAACATAATTCTTTAAGTTATTTTGTTGGTCAACTTCAATTAAATATTCATTGAGCTTTAAATGAGACATGAAGACTATGAAATATTTATGTGCTCTGATGAGATTGTGAACTATAGACTAGCACTAGATCCTGGTTAATACCCAGGGCAAATTATAAAGTGCTTTCTACATTAGTGATTCAACAAAACAACTCAACACCTGTTAATCATTTTTCTTAAAAATGAGACATTTTTAATTTGTTGCCAGTTTTTCCAATAGCTTTTAATCTTAGCTATATATATATATATATATATATATATATCTAGGGTTATACTCTCAATATAAAGTAAAAATAAAGTCAATTCTTTGGAAAGTGTATTAAAATTAATATTTGTAGTAGATGCTCTTGGTGCTCACCCAGAATCATATTAGGGGGCAGTGACAAATGCTTTGACAGCTTCTACCTGTAATCCTCCCTGGAGACTTGCTCTTGGCTGATGGGAGTTGCATCTCCCAAAGACACCTGCAAGGTTATACTGGCACCTTTCTCCCAAGAGGGGGCAGCCAGTGACTGACTGATTTATCAAGGGTAAAAAGCTCCCTTGCTTCAAAGGTAGAACAGTTCTTTACTGTGATTTAGGCTCCGTAGTTCCTAGTGCATCAGGCTAAAGCTAAACTTGACCTGAAAATGCATCCTGGCTCATTTCCCTTTCCTTTGCTGCTTCCCTTACTCTTTTAGAAATTTCTTCCAAGAATGTGCCCTTAATAAATCACATGCACCTAAATCTCTGTTTTAGGTTCTGCTTCTATGGAACCTAACCTAAGACAGCATTCCAGTTTTTATCCATAATTCTAAAAGTGACCATCAAAATGCCCTGCTCAGGCAGACCATCACATTATAAGCAGAGAAAATGCTATTTGCAATCACCAAAATAGCTAGCATTCGTTATCCTGTATGGCCCCCATGGTGGACACTTCTAATTGTTTATCCTTTATTTATTCTCCCCTTTATTCTTACAGACAGAACAGTGGTTTTTTTCAGTTTTATTCAGGCTGGAAATGTACCCCCCCAGGCTTCTTGCAGCTAGGGCTTTCCATGTGACTCACTTCTGGCCAATGATACAATAAATGCATTAATGTTTGTTGGGTGGGGCTCCTGGGATAGTTATTGTTTTTCTAATGAAAACAGTCAAGCTCAGCTGGTACAATTTCCTGCCCTTTGCCCTCCCTTTGTTTTCCTGTCTGGAACTAGGACATAATTCCTAGGACACAGCAGCCATCTTGTGGGTGCAGTGAGATGAAGGGAGCCTAGGTCCTCATCAGCATCACGGAGCTATTGTTTATGGCCCAGCCTCTCTCTCTTTGTCTTGCAGTAATATGAGAAAAATCAACCCCTACTTCAGAGGTTCTCAGCCCAGAGAGGCATTTGGAAATGTGCAGAGGTGTTTTGGGTTGTCACAATGACTAGGAGCAGGGCTGGATGAGGATAAGGCAAATGAGGTGATTGCCTTGGATGCAACATTTAAGGGGTGCCCCCAAACTCAGTAATCAAACTAGATAATATTTTAGTGTAATATCTTAAAAAATGAAAATTAATGCCAGAAATCCATGATGAACAAAATGCCAACATTTTAAATAAAGACAGGATCAGTAATTGTGCCATGAGAGCCATACTGGAGCCTGAGGCAAAAGGAAAAATCAGTAATACTGATCCCACCTTTATTAAAAACTTGGCGTTTTGACATTATGTTCATCCTGGATTTTTCTTGCATTAATTTTGATGTTTTAAATTTCCTCACCCTAGGGCCAGCCCTGACCAGGATGTGCTGCCACTATTTAGTACCTAGGAGCCAAGTATGTATGGCACATCCTGTGATGTGGGAAAGGCAAACCCATACTGGGAAGAATTGTTCTACCTCAAATGCCAGTAATGTTCCCATTGAAAAATACAGTCCTACTTGCTTAGAATCTCTGGCACTGGGGCGATTTATACAAATAGCCCAAAGAATTTTACCTGACACTGCATTCACTTCCCAAAGACTAGTTATTTCATTGAATTCATTTAAATAAAATCAGGCCATGATGGACTAAGATAAAAACAAGACCACTCCATAATCATAATCCATATGAACACAGAGAGAACATGAACATTGTCCAAGCTACAAAATGTACCACTCACACCAGTGATTTCCAGTCATTATCCCAGTACCTCCATAAGGAAGAAGCAAACATCAATGGCTGCCCTCGCTGTATAAAGGAGGAATCATGTGCAAGAAGTGGAGCGGGGGCTAGGGTCTGAGAATAGGTGTTGGAGACACTGGTTCTGGTCCTGGTCCTCCCATTACTAACTGTGTGATTGTGGCTTAGTCACTTTATCTCTCTGAGCCTCAGTTTCCTTGGTTATAAGGCAGGCATTGGTTAGCTGATCTCTTTACCTCTAGAAGTTTGTATAAGACTTGACTAAGGTCAAATTTAGCTTGTTCATCCTAGAACTGAGCCAGGACCCTGGATCTCCTGCCCTGAGGCTCTTTCTAATTACACCAGGCACTCTCTGCTTCATTATTAATTGAAATTTGGCATTTAGCAGTTTATGCTACGTTGAGGTTGCTATCATATAAGATCTATCATTAGCGCTTTTAGAAAAAATCAGAATAGTTAGAAACACACAAATGACTGAATGTTTTTATATGACTTTTATCTGGCTGTTAAGCACCATTTACATAGACTGTATAATTATGCTCTCATTTCTTTTCATTTGTCAATGGCTCCTAGTTAGCCTAATTTGTTTGCTATTTTACAAATGACTCTATTATAGTAAGTGGCAGGATAAAGGTTGATCTTATGGGGTATGCATGCATTTAAAAATATTACTTCATTTTTTCCATCTATTGTAAACATAATAATTATAATCAAAACTACTGACCACAGAATTAGAATTTTAATAATTTTGCATTAATTGACATTGAGTTTGTATTGAGCTGATTATTTATGTAGCCTATGTGACTCTATGTTTTAAACAATATAAAAATAAATTTTAAAAATATAATTTGGTCTCTTGAGTCATCTTGATTTTTTTTTAATTGAACAAGTTTGTTTTTGCTCATTTGCAGCGAGGGAAAACATA